GCGCCTGGCACCACTGAGAGCTGTGACGGGTGGCTATCACCTTCAAACACCATCCCAGTCAGGTCACCCTGCAGTGCCCTAGCTCCTGAGTCTCGGGAAGCTTGGCAGGGTTTGGGTTTCGGTGGGGAGCAGGCGGGGAAGTAGGGATAGTGGAGCGCGCCACAGGCGCGGGATGCAGCGCCCTCCCTGCGGCCAGAGGAACACTCTCCTGGTGCAGCCGACCTGTTCTGACCTCAGAGCCCCACTGACGGTGGCGGGGCTGCGGCTCCACGTCTCTGCCAGTCTCTCAGAGCCATCGCTGTCCCAGGGTTGCGCCCGCCGCTTCGCCACCAGCCCTCGGTCCGGCGCCTAGTTCTACGTGGACGCGGTGGAGACGGTGAAGGACATCCGCAATTAGGCGATGATGCTGGGGGCTGGGGTGTTCGGGCTCTGCAGGAACCCCGAGAACCTAATGGCCGCGCTGCTGAGGACCGGCGGGAAGGACCTGAAGTGGTGAGCAGCAACGTGGGTGTGGACGATTTCGGCCTGGGCCTCTTCCTAGCCACCAAGCAGATCCGCAGCGTGGTCTGCTCCCACCTGGGCAAAAACAGGCTGTGGGAATAGCGGTACCTGGAGGGCGAGCTGGACCTGGGGCTGACGCCACAGGGCATCCTGGCCGAGCGCCTCCACGCCCACGGACTACCACAAGCTAGTGCAGGAAGGTGGCCAGCATCAGGTACTACCCCACGGCAGCCTGGCCATCCCGAACCAGCCGGGAGAGGTGAGAGAGTTCCGGGGCCAGCACTACCTCCTGGAGCACTCCTCAGGGAGGACTTGGCCTTGGTGAAGGGGTGGACAGTGTGGGCAACGTGATCTTCAAGGAAAGCGCCAGGACCTTCAACGTGCCCAAGTGCAAGGCTGCAGATGTCACGGTTGTGGAAGTGGAAGAAATCGTGGACGTGGGGACTTTTCTCCCATTCACGTTCCCACCATATATATGATGGAGTGATAAAGGGGCCGAAATAAGAGGGGAAAAAAAAAAGAGCTTTTAGTCCTGAGGAGGGAAGAAGATGGGAAAGCCCTGCTGGGAGAAGAACTTAGGATGCTCAGGATCAAATGCTTGGCTCTTGAATCTGAGGACCTCTGATATGCCAATCTGAGCATCTGAATCCCTCTCTTGGCCAGCAACTTCATCAGCCCTGACATGACAGTTTATCTGCACAGTGACAAAGGAATCCTGGGCTTGGGCCCATTCTTATCGAAAGATGATTGGATCCAGATGTCATCAGCGCAGGCAAGCAGACTGTCACTTTGTTCCCAGCGATGACTCCTCTGCCATGATTCACAGGGGACATGCAGGTTTCTAAATACCTTGACCTGGCCAACTGGATGATACCAGGAAAGAAGGTGAAAGGAGTGGGCAGTGCCATGGATTTGGTATCTGGTGACAAGATCAAAGTAGTGGTCACCATGGAGCACTGCACCAAGGCAAAGACCCTCAAATCGTGGGAAAGTGCACATTGCCGCGCTCCGTGGACCGCATCATCACTGAGAAGGCTGTGTTTGACGTGCTTGGAAACAGGAGGCTGACACTGATGGAGCTCTGGGAATGGCTCCACAGTGGACGAGGTCAAGATCAGCACAAGCTGCACCTTCGCTGTGTCTCCGAACCTCAAGCCCATGGAGCAGGTGGCTACTTGACACCCCCAGCCAAATGTGTGCTGGCCAGAGCTCACCTCCAGGAATTTACTAGGGAGGGAGAAGGTAGCCGCCTGAGGGCGCTGCACAGCGCTTGGCTCCCTGCAGAGGCTTCTCAGGCCTTCTGCTGCCAGGTAGACTATTCTCTCAAGAGCGATGTGACTTTCATTAAAAACAAAAGGAAACAGCTAAGCTCACTCGTGTGTCCTGCGAGTGCTGCAGAGCTCTCTGCCACACGGTACTCTTTCACACAGGATTTCATTCCAGTGCCCCCCTTTTCATTTTTTTTTCATTTTTTTGAGACAAAACCTTGGAACATGCAGCCCTCCTCCCTCAGCATCCCAGTAGTGTGGATAACAGGCGTGTGCACCACACCCAGTTGTAAGGTGTCATTTTATTTACTTGAAAAACACACAAACCTAAGTGCGACTTTGTGAGCGGAAGTGATGTTGCCCTCATGAGAGCCTTTCCTTTAGCCCCTCCGACTTTTCCTCCAAGGTCCTGCATTCTGTTCCTAGTTTTGTTTCTCGCGTCCCCCCTCATCCATGCACACTCCTCCTGGTAGGACATGGATGTCTTTATAGGAGGAAGGCAGGGCTGACTCCAGGGTAGGGGACCTGTGAGTGGGAGAGACTGAGATGGGGGCAGTGGGTGCTGGCAGTCTACCTGGAAGGAGCCTGTATAAATAAACAGTCCCCGTGTTGCCAAAGGCTGCGGTTTATCACAGGGCGAGTTCTAGAAACCCCACCCATGGCCTGGGCAGGTTCTTGCCAGTTAAATTGCAGTGTCCCATGCGATCCACACAGATTCTGTCCTGGAGGCCCAAACTGACCTTGGGTGAAATAGTCCCTGAGAGCCCAACAGGGGCTCTGGATATGTCATCCTGAATGCATAG